ATGAGTTCGCTTTATTTCTTATCAATCTTACTTCATATTGAGATCGGAGTATAAGAACATTATCAATAACTACATGACCTTTTATTTCTTTGCAATAAACTGAACATCGATCAACATTCCCAATATCACAAAGATATAAAAGTTCAACAGCAGCAACCCAACCTCATCATGTCAGAAACACAAACAGCGCTACTTAAAGAGCCATTCATCCCTAAGAAAATGATGACCAATACCGCCGCCTTCTATAAGGAACTCACTGGCGATTCCTCGATCGATGCTGCTAAGCATGCGATAACTCATCTTCTGCCTCGAATTACTGCAGATGCCATTAGTAAGAATATTAGTTCCCGTGATATCATCGCGTTTAAATACAATCCATATTGAAACCTCATAAATCCCCAACCTAGTCCACGACAACGGCTGTGGCACCGGCGAAGTCACAAAAGCGATATGGAATCCCATCCCAGAGAGTATCCTAATCCAAGCCACCGATCGCAATCAATACATGATTGATGGCTGTCGCGAGTTTGCCACTGCAGGAAACTGGCCCGTGGAAGCAACTGTTTAGCCAGCCCAGTCACTCACCTTCCCTGATAACCACTTCACGCATTCATTCAGCAACTTCTTCATTTCCCATCTCGATGACAATCACGATCTAGCAGCGAAGCAAGTCTATTGGACTTTGAAGCCGGGAGGCACAGCAATGGTTTCTACATGGGCTGCAATGGCCCACGGAGAACCGATTTAAGAGCGCATCTTGAAACACGAGGGTCTGATGTTCCATTCCCTATGGCTATGCCAACACATTGGTATGGAAAAGATGAATTGAAGAATTTTTAAATTGTTGGGGGACTCAGGGAGGAGGATATCAAGATCACGACCTGTGATGTTTATATTGAAGCGAAGGATTTACGCCATCTCATGTCTGCTACTTGGAGCTTTTTGCGTGCGCGAGCTGATGGATGGGATCTGGAGGATGGGATCTGGAGGATGAAGAGAATTGGGATAAAGCGGTTGATATTTTGGTGGAGGATATAGAGGCTGGGCCATACTACTCTAAGCTTCCTTTAGGAAACATCGCGTTGAGAATGGTTGCAAATGTAGGTCTTGCTACAAAATAGCACCAGTTCTTTCATCTACTGTTATACGTATATGATGAGATTTTATATCAATTTTATTCAAGCATCTTGTTTATCAGTTCTCTATCAATCTCTATCTCCATCTTGAGCATCCATTAAACCCTTGCATAATAAAATGCAACATTAGTGATATAAATCTAAAATCAAGAGACTCTTCACTTTGCATCTGTCAACGGAGCGACAATTAAAGGAGAAGAATGTTACAAATAAATGATATAACAAAAAAATAATTCCTGACCAAATAGCCTCCTCCACCATGTAAATAATTAGAACAAATATAAATAAGATGTGCAATCAATGCAACAATTGGTCGTCATCCAAATCCAAATCCAATGTCTCAAAGAACACTAGCACGGGTATCGTAATAACTTTGTAAAAGATCGTGATGAAATAAGATGGTGATTGAAGTCGGCCCAGCCCACCCATCACATACCAGCAGCAGTCTTAGCAAAAGCAGCAGCTGTACCGGCATCCATTCCATAAGTTAAATGAGGTGCCAGAATAAGATCTCCGTGGGCGCAAATGTTATCACCGGTATGGCAGATAACTTTTGTATTTGCAGCTGATACGCCTGCGACTGGACTTCCGTTGTCTGATATGTATGTTAGTGAGTGTTATAAATGATTTAGTAAGAGATTTACTTACTTGGGTCTCCGAAAATGATAGCGGAGCTCACTTTCGCCATGGTGGCTGCGGGAACCATTTTTGCAGCGTTGTGTACGAGTTGACCGCCTTGAGAGTAACCTGCCATGACGACTTTGGAATCGGGACAGTTTGTAACGGCAGTTGTGATCATTTGAGCCCTGTCATAGGAATTAGTGGCTAGAATTTAATAAACATTGGAGGTACATACATCATCTTGCTTCCAGCTGCATCACCTCCTGCCAAAAATCCAGGGATATCGGCGGGGTATGGAACACCTTGGGTTGCCACATTGCCAGCACCAACGGCTTTACCAAGAGCAGCAACTAATGGAGGTCCTGCCACGGTACCCAGAGTCCCTGTTTCCGTAGTTCCACGGGCAAAAATAAGCATCATTGGTGCGCATGCTCCAGCTGCAGCTTTAACATTTCCAGTGCCCTCGAGAATTGGCGCGGCTAGCGCGGTAAGAGGGAGGAGCAAAAGAGATAGAGACTGTGAAAATTTCATTTTGGAGTCTCGTTGTTGTATGAACTGAATTTTCGAAATGATTATTAATTTCTTGAAGTAGTGAAGAAAGCGATTAAAAGTAAGCTGTATTGGATGGATAATTTAAAAAAGAAAGGGTCATCCATTGGGGCTTACATGAATTTATATATTCAATCATACCAAGATCCTCAGCTACAATAACACATATCAACATCGCAAACAATCCCATGACGGTTGACAGGAATGAAAAGAAAGGTTGCGATTGGTTGAAATTTCTCATGCAAATATGACGGTAGTGACGTTCTAGAAAGATGGATGGGATGAATCTGTGTGAGCGGCGGAGGCACAGACAGATGGAGGATTTCTCCAACATGAAACTCGTCTCAACCAAAACCCCATTATCACTAACACCGAGGTAATAAGGAAATCGTTCCTTCTAGCCTGACATTTAAAATCTTCGATGTTTAGACTCCAACGTTTGAAATCTGGGCGTTAAGGCTGTGTACATCAAGATTCATCAACTTGAGAATAATGAGGTTGTATCGCCGATCGATAAAGATATTTCAATACTTCGGTGTGTAGTACTGATGAAAGAAGGATCAGTTATTGCATATTTTAGATTTCCACTGAACTAAAGATAGAAATATCTTTTGCAAATCTCTACCAGAATCTTCACACCGACTTTGAATATGTAAACTTTTACAAGATCGTGTGGCTCGACAAGTCTACAGTCTGATACTACAGATCTCAACTGAATAGAAGAAATCAAAACCATGTTTTCATTGGCATTTGTCTGTGCGACGAGCCTCATCAATTGAGAAAGCGGAATGAAGTTTATGCCTCGGTAGTCATTCTGCTTAAACGACGTGTTTGCGACGAGTTTGTGGGTATAAAGTAAAGACACAAATGCTCGTATTATCAGAATCCAAACTGCAAACCGGACGATATACTCTTTAGAGTTGGGATGGTTGGACAGTATGATTTCTCGCCATGCGATTCGTAGAGAGAAGCGTTCCTCCAGGTTCAGATCCACTTTGATTTAACCTTTAAGCTACTTCAGATGTGTTTTGATTTTTGCTCGGCAGTTCTTGCCAAATCTTCAAGATTCGCTCGCATCGATTTCTTGGTGATGTTTGTTATATCGTCATGCCATTTTGATACGACAAGTAGGTTCGGCATTCGAGCTCGATGGGGCATTGGACACGAGGGTAATGGAAAATGACACTGACACCCTGCAAGCGCTTGATGAATTGAAGTATGAATATCTTTTCCGCTTTCTTGGTAAATCGCACAGAATTCCACTCCTCTAACAAACAACAACATTCAACATTCAACCCCATACCTTTGCATCAATAAGGCATTCCGACGAGGTATGAGAAGGCTGTTAGACACCATGAGAAAGATGCGAGTCAGATTCATTCTAGCAATCCTTGGGGTGCGAATTTATCGACACGCAACAGCTGTCACATGACCCAGCCAGCCATCTCAGGTATATTTCTCTAATTCACACCAAGCTGAAGTGATACGACACCTAGGACCAATCGAGAAAGATATTCTATAAGAACAAGTCAACACGATGACAGGAAGACTCACAGCGCTATATCATCTTCTATATTTGAACTATCTACCTCATCGATCTTCCATTTTCTGGTGTTCGAATTGAGTCAGTCTATTCTGATACTGAACATCCGCTGTCAATCACGACTTCCCGCTTGTCAAAAAAGCTAAATTGCTCCACCCCTGTTTCGACCAACTGATCACCATTGATCTCCCGAGATCTCCATCACTTGCATGGCCAGCAGAAGATGTTCTATTTTGACCGCATGCTTTTTCTCATAAAGCACATTATCGGTATGAAAAGCACTTCTCGTCATGCAAAAAGTGCGACAATGGCAGAAATTACCACTGGGAGAATTGATGCTGAAGTTGTCCGAGGGGTACATAAATGCACGTCAACCTCGACGAGATTCTACGATATGAGTTTGAATCTCAAGGGCAACGATCGTGATAGACAAGGGAAGTATGACGATGCTGGAGATCAAAATATCTGGTCGATCAACGTCAAGGGTCTTAGTTGCCGCTTTTTTGCTGTGTTTTTATGTCTATCTCTCAACCCTGGTTGCATTGCCACGTCTCGTTGAGATCTTTTTGGCAGTACATCCACTACTTGTTGAAGCTTTGGGCAGGTATGACGAAGGAAAGTAAAGTACATTACTCGTCGTTTTCGTGTCACTAAGTGGTGACTGAATATTAAGGATATCTCCACGCGGACGAGACAGCGGTTCACCAAGTCTGGCTGAATCATACATCGGAAAGACTTACATTTCGATTGAAAGTGACGATGATTTGGTTTGATGTCGAAGATTGAGAAGAGTGTATACTTTATTGTCCTGTTACTGTAGTCTGGAAGGTTCATTAGACGCTGTATTTGAGATAATCTTCCGTAAAGCTGCAGTGGCTATGAAAAGTCATAGGTTAATCGTCGATGGGTAAACTGAGATGTGAGATACGCAGAAGTGAATATGCTGGGTTTCTCGAGTCTCCATGAGTTTGATCATTTCAATGGTCATTTCAATTTCAATCTTGAATTTTATGCGAAAGATTTACCCCCGAGCCTACCTAGGCATTCACAAATTTCGTGGTGTGTATTATGGCTACCTTCAATAGGGAGGAGTATAGAAATTTAACACACCCCAACATCCTTCAATCAGTTTTCATCTGCGAAGAACCAAATTATAATGCTGAGTTGATCTAAATTATTTATGTAATTTGCTACATAGAGAACAACCTAAAGGTAAGCAGGTAAAGATAACAAAATTATAATGACCACGATTGATACATCTTTTCCTTCCCATATACACCCAAAATCTATATTAAAGAAATCTCCCTCTTCTCATACCCCACCGCCCTTCCATTAAGAACTCCATCCTCTCCACTAACCATCTCTATATCCGCTCTTTCCCTCAACAAAGCAGATCTATCCACTCCGCCCTTGCGCTCCACCAAATCAAAAGGAAACCACTCCGGCCTGACAATCACATACGCGGTGTAATCATACCAAGGCACTTCAATATCCTCACCCTTCTCATTCTTCTGCTTCCTAATACTCACACTCCACAAGATCGTCGCGATAACAGTAAGTAACACCATCTCGACATGATCCTGTCCAATACAAGCGCGTCTTCCCCAACCAAATCCGTGGTTGGCTTTGATGGATGGGAAATGGGTAAGCGGTTCTCTGTATGTGGGAAATTCGGGGGATAGCCAGCGCTCGGGACGGAAGTTTTCAGGATCGGGGTAGAGGACTGGATCACGGCAGAGACCCCATTCGAGTGCGAAACAGGTGGTGCCTTTGGCGAGGAAATAGCCATCGTATACATCGTCTTGGGAGAGTACGTGAGGAACGCCTGATAAATTTTGTCAGTTCATCAAGTCATTTTGGGGATAGGTTCGAAACCGGAAAAGTAAATTGCTAGAAAAAAAGAAGGGGAGGAAAGATAAAAATTACACATACCGGCAGGAGCAGGACTTCTCCACCTGAAAATTTCTCTAATGATCGCTCTCACTACAGGCAATTGCTGGATATCATCAACAGAAGGTGGTCGGTCCCCACACACTCTATCGACCTCTTCTTGTCCCTTGGCCTGCCACTCTGGACTAACAATCATAGCGTGGAAGAAACTTTGAATAGGTGACGACGTAAGAATACTTCCGATCAACGCCAACATGCCGATCGAATAGGTATTATCTTCTTCAAATTTAGGTGTAGTAGGCATGCTGAGATGTCGCGCCATCCAGGATGGATCCGGTTTCTCATTTAAAAGTGACTTTCTGACTTCCTCTTTCTCTCCAAACCAAAAGTTTCTCTCCCGTTGATAACGTACTCGTTCTGCTACTTTCCATGGTTGGAGGAAATCGGGAACCCAGTCTGGAATATTGCGGAGGAATGGAAGCTTATTTTGGATATCACCATCGGCTGAGATACGGCGGAGGAGTTGGTTAGCACGCATGATGGTTTCTTTGGCGGTGGAGAGACGGCGATCATTCCAGGCCATTTGCGATGAGATTTGAGCGGTGCATTCTTCGCAGAATTGTTTGAAGAGGTGTGGTTGGGCGATGAGACGAGTGACGAATGTTGCGGCGCCTTTTTGAGAAAGGCCCTTGAGACGATCGGGGGGCATGCTGGACATGGTAGCCTTCATCCAAGTTTTGATGCGCCTCATGTCATCTGGATGGATATTAGTATTGTGGGAGGAAATTTCAGATACTGGGAGACATACCGCCATTGGTGACGAGGGGAATGTATCGATTTGTGTATCTGCAATCATCTCCGATAGCTGCAAGGAATGGTCTATCCGAATAGATGGCTCCTCTCTTGACAAACAGGTCTTCGCAAATTTTATGAGAGGTAATCCAGACGGTAGTATCACCGTTCAGATTCACTTGGTACATGGTTCCATATTCCTTACTCCAATCCACCATTTTCATCCATGGATTCTTCGGGTCGAGATCAGGAACTGATCCAATGATTGGGTATCCTGTAACAAAACATCAGTGAGGATTCATCATTGAGGTATCATACATATTCTCTTACCTTTTGGACCCGGCAATGTTTTGGCGCCATCAGGTATCTTGACTTTCTTGAACAGACGCTCATAAGATACATAACATATAAAAATCGCAGCAGAAAACCCAAGCAGCAACAATGAGTATGCCATGCTTGCCTATGACGAAACGATCGACTATAGAATTCTGGAGTGTAGAAAAAAGAGAGATGGGAGACTTGATATTAAACAAAAATTGCAGCCTGCCCATCCAGCTCCTGGGAAACGAGAAAAAGAAACCCAAAAGAAAAAAAGAAATACGAATCCAGTAGTACTACACTAGTTTCTCCAACACCAACAGATCCATCCACACTAAGACAAACTAGTCATTTTCCTCCCATATACCTACATTTCATCTGACGAGAACGACCAAACCTCTCTCGAGCCTTGCACAACAACACCCAAAACATGCTTTCCAGCTCCATGTCGATCACGTAACAAGGGACGATTGTTTCCGTTGCTGAAACATCCTCGACGCGCTATGTTCCGAAGCACGGATACTAGAGATGATCCGCTAAACCCCTAGTGCCCCTTTTGCGTGCCGACCTTCGTATAGCTTGGCCCAATGCTGCATACATAAATACATTGCTTGTTTGAAGTTTGTCCTGTCTCGTCCTTTCAGCTTATGTAGAACGAGGAAAATTGTGATGCATCGTTGTAGATGTTGGCTGTACCCCCCACATTCGTGTCAGACTTTTGGGGGCTGGCAGATTTCTTCACGACGTCGCGTGCAGGGCTGAATTTAGTCGATTAGTAGTATGCCTACTTGTCATTCTTATCCATCGATGCTTTCAGAACTTGCGTGCGTTTGCGATTATCTACAGATTGACAACAAACAGATGTCGAGCTATCACAAAGTCAATCTGTACGGAGTACAAGCGCAATCAAAATTTTACCCCGTGGACCGTCAAAAAGCTTAATGATGCAAAGCGTGTCGCACAGGGCTCTGCGCTCTTGAACATTTTCGAAACTGCATGCTTCAATCTCTGATCTCATATCTGTATATTTAGGTACGAGAGTAACTTTACCAATTGTTGGATAGGCATCGTGAGACAACCAATAATTCCAACTTTAGCTCGAGTGTGATAGAGAACATGTATGGACTGGATAACGACGGCATATCTAGATACGAGACGTAGGTATGTGTTTTTTTCTATTAGACTTTCTCTAACCCATTTCCTGTCAAAAAGCAAAGTATATGCCAGTGGATGAAATGGTTGACTCAGAATCTCTTACCCAAAACGAGATGGGGATATCTTTCATGAGTCTGCTTGGTTCGTTGTCTGGTATTTTGGTATGTTGTTTCGTAACATTAAAGCTCATATCACCGAGTGTCTACGTGGTCCTAACTAGTCGCACCTAATGTATGTTTAGTAAGAAATGGAAAGGAAAAAAAGCTATCAAAAATTAGCTTGGAGGTCTCGAGGATGTGTAACGATAGTCGAGCGTCGATAAACGAACGCCTTATCGATCGCTACAGGGAACATATTAAGATTTCGTATTGTCGTGTAGAAAATTCAATTAAATTATAGCCTCTTGTTTTCCGAAAGACCGAAGAGCGAAGATCATGTATTTCACACATCTCGGAATCCAGTTTGGTTCTGAAGAGTCTTTGTTAGTGCTGTGAGGTTACATCCCAACAAGACTAATGCTTGTACTTAGTAGTTCGATACAATCTCAACCTTACAAAGTATAGACGATGATGCTATAGATCAGGTTGAAGATTATCTATCGGTTCCATGGTAATGGCTTCAAGCATATCGGTACAGATAAGCAGATAAGACAACGCTTCTTGATTATCCAAGGACGTGGATGTGTGTTCCGACCACCATGTTGAAGAAACATGAAACAAGACCATTTGTCCAAATATATTGATCATCGTGAGCCAAATGCTGGAATAGCTATGGGAAAGTGACATGGATCTTACCCAAGCCTCTGTTGTAGCAAACATTGATACATGATTGCCAATACCTAGGTAGTTACCAATCGAAGAAATCGCTTAACATTTTTTTTTGATCTTCTTCAACATCAAAGTAAATTCTGATGGCTTTGATATTTCTATAATTAGCTCATCCAACCTCAAACTTTGAAAGACTGATAATTGAGCCCCATATCAACTTTCTCCACAATACATTCACGGATAACCAATCAGAAATTTATATCGATTCGTAACCATTTCTACATTTGCGTTCGTTTATAAGATCTTGAAACAACATACACACACACCAGATATCTGATCATATATCTGGTGTGGAAAAGTGGGTAGATAGGTTACTAAAAGTTCTGGAAACAAATGTTTGTGAGTTCGGCGAGTATGAAGTTGTGTAAGGGAACGCCATGGAGGAAGTCATGATGAAGAACGTCTTACCAACTCTCGCATTTATATCAAAGCCACATTGAGAAACATTCCGAAAGTTTTCTGTTGAATAATAGGAGAGGAATTTGAGAAAAAGAGCCGATCGATTTGCTGGCCAACTGTTGCGCAATAACCTCTTGGGATATGCCCCTCAATTCTTACGCAATGGGGTCAGTGGGAGGTAGCTCCATGTCGTATGCTATGAGACGGCTCTGCTATTTGTGAAAGTTTAACCTTGTATCTTGTTTATTGATTTTTGAATAGTATCTAAGATCAACGACTTGAAGGTAAAATTTATGTCCAAGGGAGATTGAGGGTCGTATATTCTTTGGAGAATCGCAGTATTCCAATTCAGAACTCACAACATGAAGCCAACCGCAAAAGGCAGCAGAGAAAAACAGTTGCATGAACGGGGAAGATGATCTTCGCCGCACACAGGATTGGAAGTTTACATCGTTGCATTCCATAGAAACCGTTTTGTTCCTAAGGACATCTACTCCTTCTCCTGTGAGTAATGTCGAATTAAATGATTCCGGATGAGACCGGTATCTTTACGTTTTCTCGATCTAATATTAATAGTAGGAGACTTTCTCGCTACACTCTAGAGGCAAATTAAGTCCTTGAAAACGATTCCATCTCATGAGGGGGGGCGGGTGTAGGAGCACCCATCACTCACTTTTGCAATAATTCGGAATCGGCAATAGACACCAAGTGGTAGCAAATAAAAAGGATCAATTGAACCGACCTTACTTTGCCAAACTTCCCTCTCCAGGAAATCTAGTATTCTGCAGACAATTTCTTCATCTCACCAACACGAAGAAAACGATCAAGAAGAACCGCAAATCAGAACCAGCCAGACCCCACAAAATCCCACACCACACCACAGACGGGAAAAGCACATCTAAAATCGCCCCCAGAAAACAACCCAAAAATCTCAATTCTGTTTATAGTCACCAACAGTTGGTCGTTGTCGTGATCAAACGTTTAATTTCGCAAACTTGGAAGTCGTCATCCAAACATCTCTGATTGGTGCTTCATATACGGGGTACACAGCCTATCTCAAGCGAGCTTACATTATTCATCTAAAGAACCCCCCCTTGATCTATTTTCATCATGATGTATTATACGGGTATGTACAGCCGTGTGAACCAACATCCTGAAACTGCATGTGGGATACCGCGAAGAAAAAGGAGTGCTGAGAGGTGGTTTAGTGAGTAATTATATTCGTTTTTTGGATAGAATTAGGTAAACTGAAGCTTTTGATTTATGAGAGATGATTTATGGTTTTGGATGTTTGCAATAATTCAAACATTTGAATTCTCTATACACTCAACCTTTGGAAAGCCATCAAAGTTCCAACTGGGTCCACGAATCAAAAGCTATTAATTGGCAGCCTACCCACCAGATCATCAAGTAAAAACTCGGAGCAAATTTACAATATAATCAACATTAAGTTCCGAAAAGTTCTCTATATAGAAAACGGGTCCGTACATTCGGTAAAAGGATTGCATCGTACATTCCTTCGAGTCATGTAACATTGGTGAAGGGAAATTTCCGTATCGTGGCCAGGTTCAGCCTTGCTGGTATGGGATACACGTTCCAGCATGGATAGAACGATCATACATACTATGGTTTCTGAATATCTTCACTTCCCAAAACTGAGAATCCGTTGGCACTTTGATACAGTAAGTATATTCAAGTAAGAAACGATAATCTTTGGGAGATTCCTTCTTGAATTTCTCCTCTAGTTAGCGATTGCCTGGATCTCATTACTATGATCGGAACTGTATAACTCTCTGTCAGTAACATTCACAAACTGTGCCTCAGAAGTATAATACTCACGTCGTGTCGTAGGATTCTCAATGATTCCTCTTCTCATCCATCCCGTTAGATTCTGGAGCATCATTTCGGCAATGGAAAATCATATCGTCTATCTAAGGGGTATCCAAAAACTCACACTCTCAGGTATCGCATATATAGAGATGTGATAATACCTGTCATTCCATTTCGTAAATCATTCTCATTCTTTTCTTAGATTTCTTTTCTCGAAATTTCTTTCATTGGTATTCCCAGTCATTCCTTTCTGGTGTCAATATCACATTCAGTCTTTACCATGTCTCCTCTCAATTTGGTTCTCAGAACCGCTTTCATTATTTCTTGTATATCGACTTCTTTTGCTGCAGTCTGCAATGACCAAACTCGAGCTTTTGGGGATCCCTCTGGAGAGGAATTAGCTGCATTCCTCAATTCTGAAGATCAGATCTCCCTGTTTTGTTCGGTGGATGTATCAGGGAAGACTTCAGGGAGTGTTAACTTCTCAGACTTCCAGGTAAGACACCTAAGAAAGATTCAATTCGACATACTAATTGAGGTAGATCTCTTTTGAGCGCAGTGATACCTCCAGTTCAACCTTGGAGCATTGTACGGAAGCACTCCTTGATATCATATCCCAGTGCATTGAGCCTTCCGATCCAGGAACTTATGGAGGAAGCTCAACATTTGAAAATGGAGAAACATACACCATCAGCAACGACTTGTATCCTCAAGCACCCATTGTCTCCATAAATCTAAAGAACCGAGCAGTGGAGGATGCCGCCAAACCGAAGCCTCCTAAAGTCACAACGAAATCAACTCCCAAAACAACTCGAACCAAAACATCTGTAGCACAAGCAACCACTAGTCCAAAAACCACAGCAACTACTCCAAAGCCAACTCCGACTTCTGTGACTACGAGTCCGAAGACCACACAAACTACCCCTACTACATCTAAATCATCGACTACCAAGACGAGTTTATCTTTAGAAACTCCGAAAACGATAGCAACTTCCACTAGTTCCAAAACTACACAGACAATTCCCACTTCTTCGAAATCCTCCACATCCACATCTACCATCAAGACAAGTGTAGCTTCTGAGACTCCCAAAACAACATCTTCAGCCACTACTTCAAAATCTACCGATTCCAGTAGTCTCTCAACAAAAAGCTCTTCCATGACCAGCCTAACCAGTCTATCTTCCCAAACCCCCAAGACAACTTCCATAACCACGACTTCAAAATCTCAAGTAACCACCTCAATAACATCCCAATCATCGACTTTGAACACGAGTCCATCCCCTGCAACTCCCAAAACAACTTCGGTAGCCACCATTTCGCAATCCACAGAACTCCTACCTCCAACTTCAAAGTCCACAACTTCTAGTATCATCTCCTCGAAGATTTCTTCCCCCAGCAGTCTCTCCTCAAGTCAAACTTCAACAAAGAAAAGTGGTACTAGCACTAGCACTACTTCCATCTCCTCAACCAAAGGTTCTTCCGCCATCACACCCGACGCTTCCACCTCAACCAAACCATCTCCAAGTACCATCCCATCTTCCCTCTCAACCACTCAACTCTCCACTTCAAGCCTGGAGGTATCTTCCCACATCCCCGAGCTAACTAGCACGTCTTCACAATCCACCCCCACAAAATCCGTTTCACTGGAAACTTCCTCGCAGAAAAGTACATCACAAACCGATCATTCATCTAGCAGCAGTATCCATACTTCTAATCTCTCATCCACCAGTTCCCTCTCAAGCGGAACAAAAATCCCCACTTCCACATCCCTTCCTTCCACATCCAATACCCTCAAACCGACTCCCTCCTCACCTCCAGAATCCCTCCCCGCAACCAAATCAAGCATATCCCCCGAGTCCAGCGAAACAACCCCGCAACGATCTCAGATTTCCCAAGCAGTGCAGATATCCATTCCTCCTCCTCCTCCTCCACCACCACCTCCACAAAAACATCTTCCATTTCTTCCCTCTCTTCCAATTCAATCCCCGAAATCACACCCGGACCCACAATTTCCAGTTCTTCAGTCACTACCTCTTTGGTTTTTGGCGAATCAACTAATTCCGCTGCACATTCTAGTAGTACTATCGAGAGTAATACAATTCCCTCACCAATAACCACCTCCAGAATTTCAAGTCAATCATTAGCGTCTTCTTCAATCCCCGAAATCACACCTTCTTCATCTACTTCGAGTGTTGCTTCTGGATTCGTCCCATCTACTTCAGTCCCCGAATCAACTTCGCAAGCAACCTCTCCCAAAACTCATATATCTTCCGGACAATCAGAAATTATTCCTTCCCCTTCTTCCTCCACCCCCACATCTCAAATAATCTCTACCGGATCCCTCACATCTTCCATCCAGCCCGAAATCACACCGCCTTCCTCGGAATCTTCGGTTTCCAGATCCATCTCTTCAAGTATTATCTCCGAGGCGATCCCTAAAAGTACTTCCACCGGATCCCTCACATCTTCCACCAAACCTGAAATCACACCTTCCCCCTCCAACCCATCATCTTCCGAAGCTACTCCTTCATCTCCCATCTCCGAAGCAATCCCTCAAACCCTTTCAACCAGCTCCCTAACATCTTCCACCCAACTCGAAATTACACCTGCTCCTTCCAGCCTCTCCACCCCCGATCTTAATCCATCAACTTCAGAAACCGAATTCACTTCGCAGGCCATTTCCACAGGATCTCTTCCCTCATCCGTAGAGCCTCAAATTACTCCATCCCCATCTCCATCTCCATCTGAGCCATCCGAACCAGTGGAAACCTCCGAACAAACCGAATCACCCAATCCCATCGAAACATCCCAGCCCGAAACTCCAGAAAGTAATCCAACCGAAACTGCCATTCCCTCCTCAACCTCATCTCCCTCATCCACATCAATCATTTCATCTGCCGCTTGTACAGCCACCACAGGAGGAAATTGCTCTACATGTTATCAATACTCTGGTTCTGGCGATATCTCGCCTTCTCTCTCCAACGATACTACTTTGCAATCTCGCAAACTGCCACAATCGATTGCTGGTCGTATATCTACTACCAATCTACACTCAAAGATATCCAAACGAGTCACCGGATCATTTACTTCGTTTGACGCTGCCACTTCGTGTGTTTTTGGCTCGGTGGATGTTCCTTCTATTCCTGGTTTGTATACAACTCGTGAAAACCACGAATAATCCAAAAATTGTAATTTAACTAACCTAATATATGAAGATGCATCTACTCTAGTCAGCAAAGCAGGTACTCAAACAGAATACTGGTATATTTTGCAAGATACTCCCGTGAACGCAACGACCTGTCCCGCACTTGGCTTTACAAAAGTTACCGATGCAGCGCTTGCTTCTCAATTGATAAATTCAAATGCGGTTGGGTATACAAAGGCTGGATCAGGAATTGATTGGAAAGCGAATGCTCCTAGTAAGTCTCTATCTCGAACGGATAGTCAGCTCTTACAAATAGTGGACTGGCATGCTGTAACTTTTGACTAACAAATCTTTAGCCGTTGGCGTAGATAGTATTTGTAAGTATCGAGTCTCTATTTTAAAAGTAGTATGAGAGCACCAGACTAATGTCATTATATATAGATGAATCAACAATTCTACAAGGCTTCTTCGCAAGTAGAGTTAACAACAGCAACTGTGCAGCTTTCAAGGCTATTTTTGATCAGCCAGATACTGTCAATGCAGGAAAATCTAGGCTACAGACGATTTGGAAGTAAGTCTACAGATGACCTCCTCAAATATCCACGGATTTCTAATATAAATATAGTGCACTTCCTAGTGATACCAATCCCGACTATGCTGGAATAGATCAAAAGGTATTTTCTGCCCCAAAGATCATAAGATATACAACTAACAAACGGGAAGATAAGCACCGTCAAAGCACAAGCTTTCACAGGTGAATTGCAACAAAGTTATACCAGCAACGATGAGAAGTTAGCATATATTTCCGAATTAGCCGTGGCAATGGCCATAACCAACGATGATGCCATTGCGAATCTTTTTCGAAGCACCAATCTCCGTATTTACAAGGCACTACTTGCTATCGATGCGGTTATTGGTGCTGATGCGGGTATTGGAGCTACCAATAGTACCACCACGAATGGTATCAAAGCAGACGTAAGTACTACCTACTATCTCTCTGCACACCATTGTATCATATGCCCTGTCTTTGATTGATACGAGGACATTAAGAAAGTCCATAATCGATTACTCCACCAATAGTATCTCATGATTTCTCCTTTCAACTTCAAGAGAAAAGCTAACACTCCTCTTTCTCAGTGGGCATCAACCTACCGAACCTACCGAACCTACCGAACCTACCTCACGAGCCTCCTAACTACCCGCTCCTCGGCCATCCTCTCCCAAGTCTCTAGCTACCTTGATAATGATCTTGGACCTGCCGCCAGAAATGATAACGTTACACTTTCAGATGGAACGGTATCGGCAACTGAAAATTCCATTGGAAAGGGTGTTGACGCTTTACTAAATGCGTATCCTCTGGCTACTGCTTTTACATTTAACCAGGCCAAATTATTAGGATTTCCTAGTGTGTAGGTAAAGTTTGTAGGATGAATTTGAAAGGGAAGACTAAAAGAGGATAGAGGAGGTTTGTTAAGAATGGTAGCTTGATGATGGTGTATGTTTGATTTTGAAGTTGGAGGATCGTTATTTTGAGTGATTGAGTTAGTTGTTTTCTTCGCCATTTGTAAAATATTATTATTTTCTTTTTTTCATGTTTTGTATTCGATTCTTCAATGTAAATACGAAATACCAATGATGACTTCAGCACGGAACTAATAAGCCAAGGCTACCTGACTAGCCTTGATACGCATGGACCATACAAGGCTGACCAAACTCCCCTCCACCAAAGCTCCCACTCTGACTCTCCATCGCAACTGCGATCACATCACATCACAACTCAATCCGCAACTCAACATGAGCACTCTTCAAAATCAAAGTTCTGCCACATCTGCCAAAACCTTTAAATTTCCCCGCGAACATTCTTTTCCTCCTTTCTTCACCCTCCAACCTACCTCTTCGACTCTCCATGCGCAACTTCGCAAATGGAGCGATTTAATCCTTTCCTATTTTGCGTTTCATCGATTGTTTCGTCTTACGGTTTCTACGTTGTTATCTTCCGAGTTATTTAGAAATGAGAGGATTAATAGGAGATTGGATGAAGAGGGGTTGAGAGAGGTATTGGAGTTTATGAGAAAGGAGGGGAGAGTGGAGTGGATTGGCGGAGGGGGGAATGGGAAAGTAGGTGGAGATATATGTTGGGTATGGTGGAGGAAGGTAGATGAATGGGCGAGGGTTATTGAGGAGTGGGTTGACGAGACGGGGCAGAGAGGGAGTGTGTTGACACTTTATGAGTTGGTTGAGGGAGAGGGAGGTAGGGGTGCTGGTATGTTATTTATTTTGTCTTCTGGTTATCTGGGTTTGAAGAAGAGTATGCTAACAGATGGATTGGCAATAGAATTCCACGGTCTAGATACGGAGATATTACAAAAAGCATTGGCGATACTGGTGAAGAAGGGAAAAGCTCAAGTTTTCGGACAGGAAGATCAACAGGGTGTAAAATTCTTTTGAGCCATGGGAACTTTCCAGAATACATACAAGGTTAAGATCCAAAGTCTTATACCATCCATGCGTTGCGGGACGATTGAAATAAGTGTCGAGGATTGATAAATCCGTTGGAGGGGAGCATTCCGCATTTGAATTCGCATAAGGAGGGAGGAACTCTTTCACTGAAGCTTCGTTCCCCTTTTGAATCTTCAATAGGCCTCCACCGAACTTTGCCCGCACCAGTATTATTAGTCAATACTTGAGCACACCCAGCCCAAGATCCTTTCCATGCCTGTCTTCCAGAAAACCCTTTAATCGAGAAACATACAGGAGGTCACAACTTTAATCATGGTACACACACTTAACAGTGCGTACCTAGGTAGTCTCACAAGAAAGTAACCAGAGTCAAAACGACTCTTTCGGGAGCAAGGTCGATGCAAAGATCACAATGCGAACCAAGCTACATGTAGCCAGAAACTCGAAAGGAAATTTGGACGCCATAGCTAATTCGTAGCTGTTGGGCCTAGACCTAACGAATGAAGAAAAAAATCCTGTCCCGCGTTACCGTGTATCGTCTTTTCCCGCTGTCTCCGGGGGACGTACCGAAATTAGATGGAGAATAATATTTGTCCTTCAGCTGGCCTGGGTAGATTGCTAGCACGCATGGAGACTAGCACCATCGAGTCTCATCGACCATCCCTTTTTCTTAGCAATAGATTTATGTTTGATCTGCGAGATTTTCTGATGGTACTTGGAAGTACTGGAGCCTTTGTTTTTGTTTTTCAAGATGGAAATTGGAGGGATGATTAGTGGGTGGAATGAATAGGTGGGTGGGTTATTGGGGGAAATATTGGGGTTTGTTCGTTTTTTGGTATATAATTGTATAAGAGATATATATATATATATATACATATACCTAGGTAGGTACATACAGAAGTCGAAAGTAGATAGGGAGGTACTGGTCTGGTGGTATGAGATTAGAATCCCCAGCCAGGAAAGCTCTACCATAGCATGGAATGAAAAAATATAAAGTTGCTCACGTAAGAGTTGATTCCATACATGTCATACCGATCATATCGTACATATCTTACATACCTGGCATATTGTATACGCGCGTATATATACGGCGTATTTTCACTCTAGATAGCCTATAGGAATATCGTACTAGTAATTATTTCATGGATGGTCGAATTGTCGAATCATGGCATCGTCGAATCATGGAAGAGGGTCATTGAGTGTAGTGTGTGACGGTCGACTGGCTGGCAAGCTCCTTCCTTGTTGGAAGGGATGGGGAATACACGGTTTTCGTGTATTGTACTCGTAGGTAGGTAATGTAATATAGTATAATTTGAGGTGATGGGATAGTGATGGGATGTGATGTGGTGAGTTTATTAGTGTGAGTTGAGTTTGAGTTACCTAGTAAGTTAAGTCATATTGGCTGGATGTTATTTGATGGATGATGATGATGGATGGATGGATGATGGATGGATGGATGATGGATGGATGATGGATGATGGAATGATAGATATGGGATGTTTATTTTTGAATGAACTTTATTTCTTGAATTGAACTTTGTTTGGATGAATGAATGAACGAATGAATGGTTCCCCGCTTATGTGTTTATGTGGTGTGTTTATGTGTATGTGCGTTGATGTGTGGAGAGGAGAGGAGAGGAAAGGAGAAGGCGAGGGGAGGTTCTAGCCGGAGGTGATGGGAGGGATGAGATGGGATGGATGATTGGTGAGGTAAGTGGCTTATGAGGATTACGTAGGTGGTTGATGGGTGGGTGGATGGGTGGATGGTGTGGATGGGTAGCTAGTAGGTGGATAGGTAGAGAGATAGAGAGATAGAGAGATAGAGAGATAGAGAGATAGAGAGATAGAGAGGTAGAGAGGTAGAGAGGATTAAGGTGTTTTGGCTTTTGGCTTTCGGATTGAATGGAGAGCTTGGAGATGGGAGATGGAAGATGGGAGATGGGAGAATAGAATTGTATTTGGGTATTCGTGTAGGTAGGGAGGGTATTGAGAGTGGAAATTCAGGGAAAGAGATGGATTGATAGGTAGATAGATAGATAGATAGTAGATTTATAATAAATAGACTCCAAGTAGTATGTATGTATATATGTCGGTTATTAGTATGTATGGTACATATTCCTAAGTACCAAGTACCAACAGCCAAAACAGTGGATTTGAATCTGGAATTGAATCTAGAATTTGATTTTGAATTTGATTTAGAATTTGATTTGATTTGATTTGATTTGATTTGAAAGCCATCATCCCATCCCATCCTAACCATGGATTTACTTGATTCGACCTGACGAATGAGAAGTGTAGCGTCCCTGAATTTATCTCCGAGGTGTAACCTTTTTTAATATATTTATATTGCGATTATGATTACCTAGGTACGTATGATTACTCGGTAAAGGGTGGTTTGGTTGTGACGGTTTTTCTACTGTATCCGTACTGTCAGTTCTCTTCGTTTTCCCCTTCTCTTTCTCTTCTGTCTATGGAGTTGGTAGGTAGGTAGGTATCGGATGGATTGGTTATTGGGAATGCTGAGGTGGAAAGTTGAGGTTGGGTGGATGGCGGATGGGAGATGGGAGATGGTAGATGGTAGATACTGGATACAGAAACTAGATATTTACTTGATAAATAATAGTATATACTTTCCCTGATAAATCCATCAGCATTAGTTAACTCCTATATAGTTAATTAGTTCTCCAATAGTTGATTAGTTGTACGATGAAAATACTCGCTGCCTTGGAAAGTTGCATCTCATTGCTCATTGCATGCAAAACAAGTTGAGCCGTCCGTCATCATTAATTAAAGATCCGAGTTGTCATAATGCATACATACATACATACACTTCGATGGGCCTATGTCTATTCTCGATTCCTCCCTCATCCAATGTTGTATTCACCGCTATTAGATGTGTTTGATCTCTTATCTCTCCATGAACTACTAGCGACGAACTACCGACTAGTTGCTCCTTCATTGATAGAACGGGTTCCAAACTTCTATACTTCTAAACTTAATTCTTGAGAGATCGGTAGCAACGGGAACGATAGACTGGTTTACTTGCGGTGGAATCTCTGGCTTTTGGGTTGGGATAGTACACTTCACTGGTGAGATGATGATGATCGTCAACTAAGAGGGTGTATGTGTAGATGCAATGGACGGAGATGGAGATAAGAAATGTTTCATGAGGAGGAGAGAGATCGATTCGATTGAAGTATAAACTTTTATATTTGACTTCCTTCACTTCCTTGACTTCCTTGATTGACTACCTTGACTACTTTGACTACTTAACCCTATCTATCTGTCTTTCTTTATACTATTGAATATCTTTTATATTCAGATTGCAGATACTACCTAGTACTCATATACTCCTATACTCACATACTCATCATTTATATATATATGTATATATATGTATATATGAATCCATAAACATATTCTATTCTTATATACACATTCATATATACACTCATATACATACTCATATACATACTCATATATATAAAACACATACATACCATCTCTTCCAAATATATCAGAATCATGGGAGGGAGTAGTATCCCCAGTTTGTTCGAATCTTTCTTCCACGAGTCCACCAGTCTATGAATCGATGAGATGAGTCCACGACCCACCGATTGCTAAATGAAGCATTTGAAATGATCCACCGAATATCATCATTAAAAGTTAAAAGATCAACTTAATCCTTACAGACTTGAGGTCGCGACCGACTTCTCGAAATTCTCTGACCCTTGTTCATTACGAAAGTGGGAAATCATACTTGAGGGCTTCTTTTTGGTTGTTGCTGTTGTAAATATTATTATTGTTATTGTTATTACTATTACTATTATTATTATTATTATTATTGTTACTATTACTATCATTATCATTTCTTCGCAGTTGCTGTTTGTGGATTCTTGACATTGAATCTTCTTTACAAGTTATTACTTTTTTTTAACTTCAGAATTCACTTCAAACACGACTTTTACACTTCATATCACCACTTCTCCAATTCATTCTATCGAAAAAGTTGGCTCCAAAGCATCTCATCTCATCCATCCATCAATCCAACACTTTCCATTATACACCCACCAGCTTTGCTTGCTTCACACTCTTTCTCTCTCTCTTTCTTCTTTCTTTTCTTTCTTCTTTCCTTCCTTCCTTATCTAGAAACGAATTCATTACGGAGTACGAACCCATAAAATATATCTCTTCCCTCCCCCTCACCGAAGACGAGCGAAAACAAAATATCTTTTTTCATTCGAGAATAAACTCGACCCGACAGCTTCTACAGCAGCAACACTCTTTTCAATCCAATACCGGTACATCAACATCAACAAATAATATCAATTTCATTTTCACTACCTCCATCACCACCTGGACGACAAATTCCATTCATTACAATCGTTAATTTCTAAAAAGGCTTTATTTATTTCCTAGCTTTTGTTACTCTCGTTCAATCGATCAGTCAATCAATCAATCAATCAATCAATCAAGCTTTCAAAAAGCTCTTGTTCTACTTCAATTCAAGCCAATTCACTTCTCCATCCAATTCCACGTCGATAAATCACAAGATTCGAATTTAAATCAATTTCCATTCCTTCCTTACTTCCTTCGGAACAAGCCTCAAAACCCGACAATCCATAAATACCTACATAGCATAACATAATCAGGGGGAGCAGGTATCATCTCATCTTTTCGAAACGGTAAATCATCATACCGCCTCCACCTCCTCCTCCCCCTCCACTTCATCCCGGCTTTCAATTCAATACCGCCAAAATAGCTACCTTACGAGAAAACCACTACCCTCAAATTCCATCTTTTGAAGATGCGATGATCTATTCAAATGATGCGGGTTATCCAACATCAATGCCTGGTTCACCCCCCGAGTTAACGGGATCGAAATCCTCGAAATCCTCCTCATTTCATTCCTCTTACCAATCCGATAACGATGAAATTCTTTCCGACGTCAATCATTTCGAAGAAATTGGACTCGACGACGAATCAAGAATTGACTTGGACATTGGGGAATTCGCCGTCAAAATGTCGACAAATCCATATTCCTCAACATTCACAACTGATTTGCGAAGTCAAGCAAAGCGACAACAACAACGAACTCCCATGTCTGCGACCCAAGGAAATACTAGAATTCCAAGAGATTTGACATCAACAACAAAAAGTCGTCAGGGTTATCCAACATTGAGGTCACAGATAAGAAATGCGGCATCGGATGGCTTGGCCATTGTGCCTGTACCCAGTTCATCAGCAAAAACCAGAAGAGGATTGAGTAGTCCCAGTGCACCTGTATTACCGACTACACTTACACGACAGCGAAGTTTGAGCCCGAATATTGGCGCAAGTCCAAGAAGTAGTATATCCGGAGCTTCCGCGAAAGGAAGAAGGGGCAGTTGGGTTTCGAATCGAGAACGAAAGACTATACAAGAGTTAGAAAAGGAATGTGATGAGGATGATGGAGATGATGTACCTGACGAATGTCTTCTGGAAAATGTGCCAATATCGCCGCGGCCTCCACAAGAACGAGCAAGTGCTGCACCATCAGCATCGACGAGTCCTGAGAGACCTGCGAAGGAGAAAACAAAGCCACTTGGAAATGGAACTTCTGCCAAACCGGCAGAACAGGGAGAACTTAGATCACCAAGAGCGATCATGACACGAGGAGTAACGACGGGACAATTTTCAACTAATCATTTTAATTCTAATAAACCTCGGGCAAAGAGTTGGAACGAAGCTTTGTCGGATTTGAGTGAAGAGGCAAAGGCTTTGACAGAAGCGTTGGAGGCACATGCGGAGGATGAAGAAAGAAGGGATTCCGATACTCATAATTACCATCGTTCAGCCAAGCCAACAAGAGTGAAATCATCATTCGCTGAATTGCCTCCATTACGAAGGACTGAACTGATGATTGATCCGCTACCTATATCAAAGGAGAAGGAAGCCGTTCTTTCGAGGACAAGACCATCATGGCTTCCGCCAAAGGATCCAGCTGAGGAAAGACGACATCTGAAAGAATATCAAAAGATGATGGCATCAGCAGAGAAAGTGGAACGTCAGAGAGAATCCGAAAAACGTAGCAAATCAACTTGCAGAGATGACACAGCAAGTTCTTTGTTACGGATTTGGGAAGAACATGTTTTACCCAACTGGGATGATGTGATAAGACAACGAAGAACGAGAGAATTATGGTGGAGAGGTATAGCGCCAAGAAGTCGTGGAGCCGTATGGTTAAGAGCGATTGGAAATCCCTTGGGTTTATCGGATTCATCATATACCGCTGCCCTTCGAAGAGCTCAAGCTTTAGAAACGACAATCAAGAGCGGTTCTCAATTAAGTGCAGAAGAGGAGAGGAAGAAAGGTTGGCTTGAACGTATTGAGAGAGATGTTAAGGAGACATATCCTGAATTACGGATATTTCAACCCGAGGGACCTTTGCATGTGGCATTAATGGATGTTCTCAAAGCTTATTCCATGTACAGGAGTGATGTGGGTTACGTACATGGAACAAGTGTAAGTAACAATTTTTTTTTTATCTCTCTACCTTTTTGCTTTAAAATGGAAAACTAATTCTTGAGTAGACAATCGCAGCCATACTTCTTCTCAACCTTCCCGATCCTTCCTCGTCTTTTCAAGCTCTCTCAAATATTCTCAATCGACCTCTTCCTCTCTCCTTCCATACCAATGACCCCGGCGCCATTTCTCGTGTTTATGACCTCTTCCTCGCCACCCTATCGCAAAAGTTTCCACGTCTTCATTCTCATCTCACATCAGAAGGATTAAACTTTAATCCAGATGTTTATCTTCGTGATACATTTGTATCTCTATTCACGAGCTCGATATCCTTTGATAATGCGAGTAGATTATGGGATGTAACAGTTTTTGAAGGCGATTCAGTATTGGTTAGAGCGGCGGTAGCACTTTTTGGATCTCTGGAAAGCAAACTTCATAGTGTTAGTAATGATGAAGAAATTTTGGAAGTTCTTCAAGGGGGGATTGGTGCTGAGGGAATGGGAGAAGAGGATTGGATTGCGGCTGTTAGAGGAGCTGGGAAGTCGTGAGATTATTTGTAGATGGATTGATGGGCAAAAGGAGTTTGGAGCGAGTTGATTGGGAATGAAAAGGCATTGCGAGGAAAAGATGGATGGATGAGAGGAATGTACAGTACCAGTCTAGTCGTCCTACATACAATTTCGTGTAGGTGTACAGTAGTTTAGATGGGGAAGCGATGATCAGACAATCAATCGATCGATCAATCAATCAACTTTTAAAGGATTTTATGTTTTCTGTTTTTGATGAGGTGAATAATTCAATTCTATCATTAAAAATGTGGTGTGTGTGTGTTTGATACGGCGGAGCGGACCCGATTCCTCGCGATCATGTCATGTCATGCCATGCCATGTTGATATCAGCTGATGTTTATGTACCTGGGTACCTAGTAGGTATCTGTAGGTATATCATATTGAATGTGTACGTGAGTGAGGATCGACGGGATGGATGGTGTGATTTCTTTCTCTCTTTCTCTCGTGATTTTCAGGAACGATCTAGTTAAGTAAGTGATAAGTGACGATGATTCGGGGGGGTTGAGGACGAAAAAGAAGAGAAGAGAAGGAAAAGGGAAAGGGGGGAGAGATTTGGTTTCCGATATTTACCGTGAGATGTGCAACAAAATGAAATGAAATTAATAGGGGGAGGTTGAATGGATGGATGGATGTTGAAGGGGAGGGAGGAATACTCCGAGGGAACTTTTCGGAAGGGGATGGATGGATGGATGGAATAGGGATGATTGAGCGATAGGAAGGAAGGAAAGGAAAGAGGTGGCGAGTGCGGGTGTGGGTGCGGGTGCGGAAGTTTGAGGAGGTAGGGAGGTAGAGAGGGAGGGAGGGGGGTTTGTAGATTGGATGTGAAATGAGGTGAGGTGAGGTGAGGTGAGGTGAGGTGAGCTTGAGGTTTGTTGATTTTGTGTGTGTATGTGAGTGGGAAATTTCTGAAGGAGATCTCGGAGTTGAGGGGGAGATTTTGATGCGGATTTTGATGTGGGATTTAATCCTAATATTTAATATTTAATTGAATTGAATTGAATTGAATAGTGTAATGTGATGTGATGTGATGTGATATAACGGAAATTTAAATTTTAATTCTCGAGGAAGATTGAAAGGGTGTTAGAATAGAGTATAGAGTATAAAGTATAGATAGAGTATAGAGTATAGAGTATAGAGTATAGAGTATACAGCTATACAGCTATATGAATTTAAATAGATTTCTATCTATCTAGATATCTATCTAGATATATAATTTTTTCTAACTTATTTTACGAGATAGGTAGATAGATATCTATAAATCATTATATTATTGAGTATTTACTTTCTTTTAGACTAGATATCTATTGCTTTCTTGTATAGTGTTTTATTTTATTTTTATATTTATATTTACTAGATACTTATTAGATAGGTAGGTATTTGTATAAATTTATAAATGAGAATAAGCTAGAAAGTATAACTCAAGTAAATCAACTCGATTATCGAATACTAGAAAGAAGCAAGGTTTGAAAGAGATTGTGTATTTATGACATGATATACATAGGTAATATATATATATATATGCATCCCGACGTATCTGCTTCCTCCATGTTCAGAAACGGATGGAGATGTAGATGTAGATGTAGATGCGGTCATTATATCACATCACATCAAGTTCATCAAATTAATGGGGTTTGTTAATCGCTAGACATGTGAAGAGTGCATTGCTGGGTTTTTTGTTCTGACTGTGGTTGATTTTGTGTAGTTTTGGAGTTTGTCTTGATTAACCTTACCTACTTAGGGGTTTTACTTACTCTACTTGTTTGTGAGAGATTGATTTGTGTGTATGTGTGTGGGTGATAGTTTGTAGAGATTTATATGTATATATTATGTATGTATGTATGTATGTATGTATGTGTATATATACATTCAGCCAACTACTGCGGATTTTCGATCGGTCGGTGGGAAGGATGTACTAAGTACTTATTTATGATTGAGGTTATTCGTCTGTAATTAATCGGGTGCTGGTTAGTTAGCCTTTGAAGGATACATGCATGCGCGGATAAGCTAGCTACTCTGGATTATCGATCGGTATGTGGGTGGGATATGATGTATTTATTGAAGAAGAGGGAGAGGAAAGACAAGAGAGGAAGAATTTAGAGGTATGGTTTGCTGGTCTGGTCCGGTGTGTTGGGGTCTTGGAGTCGAGGTAACATATATATCTATGATCGGTTTTTATCAAAGGAATATGTCAGAGAAGAGGAGAGAAAGAAGACAATGATAGATCTTTATAAGATTTCATATTTGGAAATAGCAGATAGCATGTTATGCTGTATATAGGTGAGTCACCGAATGCTGAAAAATATCACGGAAAAATATCACAGATATCATTCATCAAACTTCAATTTCAATATCTTTTAATATTTTGAATTCCTATTCCTTACTTATTCATCCACTCCAATTCCAATCCCAATCCCTAACAGGGGAGCAGCGTGAGCGCTCAACCCATATGCAAATACTATAATATGAACCCTATACAAATAATCCCAGAAGCATCTTCAATCCTCTCCTCCTTCCCCAAGATCCCCAGCTCTATAGCCTTCTTCTCATTCCCAAAAAGTTAGGATAATAATATACAAAAGTGTTCAACGAAAGTTAAGTAAACGGTGGTATGTAGGTTAAACAAAAAAACAAAAAACAAAACACACAAATGCCTCTAAACGCCTGCCTGCCTACTGACTGGTATTTCCTCCCTTACTCTCGTGATTCCAAACACATACATATATCTCTGATTCTCTCTTAATCTGCCGTAACGCCGTTGCTTGCCAATGAGAAAAATGAATGGGGTATGCCAAATGATAATGATAATGCAATCCATGGTATGCTTTCGAAACCCAAAAAAAACCTTCAGAATGAAAAATCTTCCTCGTCGTCATCTTGTCTTTTTCCTCGTTGATCTCAATGATTCTTAACTCTTTACACCATACACGTATCTCTCATTCTCATCTCATCTCGTAGCTCATAGTACTACATATCCATTAATCCTTCCATGTCTCATGAAAATCTCGCTTCGTCTGGGGTCTAGTAACTAGATGGGCTCAATGCCCGGCGTGATGATTCGATACAGTATCACTACTATATCATAGCACTGCAATATGAAGTTTTTCCATCTTCCATACCAGTGGAAGATATCCAAGTCAGGGTTTCTAAATCAACAAGAAATCCCAACCCTTCATCTGCATTATCTCTCTCCAGGAGACATAATGTGCTTCACCACCACCAGGACTGTATCTACCATCCACATGACTCCAGACTTCCTTAAGAAGAGTCGATACACGACCGAAACTTCCTTGGTTGGCGAAATCTCCAAGAGCAGCGAGACGCTCGGCAAAATGGTGACGGAAAGGAGAATGAGTAGTACTGACAGATCCTCCAATGAGATAAACCCATACGAGACTACGGTCATAGCCTCCGGGTCCAGCGGGGATGTATTCAAGTGCTTGTGTAAGTTTGTTAACCAACCCGACACAGCTATCTTGACTTGGGGAGAAGCCAGGAACGAGACTGCAGAGATAGATACGAGCTGCGAGACGGAAAGCTGCAGTCATATTCTTGCTCAATTGCTTGGGACTGAGAATACCATGAGCATTGAATGGAACACGGGGACCGGTTTCACCGATTTCCGTAAGTCCGATTTGATCGCCGAGAGCATGGACGTGTTGACAAAGCTGAATGTCATCCATGCCATCATTCTTGAGAGCTTCCAAACATGCGATTTCAGAAATGAGATACAAAACGCGATCTTCACAGCCCATGAGTTCTCTCAAGCCGAGAGATGAGTTGGTTTGCGACAAATGCTTTTCTCTGTATGTGTGAGCAAATGTGGGTGCACGGCCTTGAATGGTCGAACCGAGGATGTCGATCCAAGCCGTCAAAGTCATGTTGAAAGGCATCAGATCATGCGATTCGGTGACGAGACGTGGCAATTCGAGTTTTTGAACGAGAGAAATCGCAGCTTGGAAATGTTGATGCCATGGGATATCGGGGAGAGAGTCGTCGAATCGACCGACCGAGCATTGAAAGAAGATCATTCCCAATGTAGCTTCCAATATCGATACGTGATCAGTGTCGCGGTTGAGAGCTTCACAAAGTTCGGAGATGGTTGCATATCGGTGGCGCATGATATCGTTATCAATTTGTTCTCCTTGGATGTTCATGGTGGATTTGAAATGTTGAGCAGAAATGCTGAGACAGCAGTGTAGGTAACATTTGTTGCTTTGGAGTGCTGGGAGGATGTAATCTGTTCGTGCGGAACCATGTTGATTGCTTTCGAGAATTGGAAATATGGTAGGTAAAACATCTGAGACGAAATGGTCGAGAAGTCTTTGATCACCCTCATCCAATTCAATGGCAACTTGGCGGAATGATGAAGGTGGACCGTGGGAGAAATCGAAGAGGTTCATGTTCAATGCTTCCTCTGCTAATACTTCATGTCTTTCATTGTATACAGTATCCCACTCGTGATCAATTGGGAAGGATGGTAGCATCGATTCGGGTGGTGGTGGTGGATGGAACGTGCTAAAGGTAGAGATGGTTGATTCGCGGCGAGTAGGAACATCATTAACAAACATTTGTCGTTCTGTCTTTACATCAATCTCATAAGGTGAGTATTCAGGATAAATTGCGTATTGAGAATGCGATGAGTGCATTTGCGCATTGTAAGCCGTGTAATCGGCCATGGGAGGGGCATTGAAATCAAAGAGAGATAATTGAGAATCAATTGATGATGATCGATTGCGGTCTAAGGAGTCGGAGTATGTTGCAGAGGTAGGTAATGAGTGTGTAAGTCCAGGAGGGGTATCGATACTCGATGACATGACTTGTTGTGTTTGAGCTTGAGATGGTGCGGTTGTCTTTTCCGTGAGCTTCTTTCGCTTGATGATAGTCTTGATCAGCTCTTTTTGCTGGCGGCGCAACTCATTGTTTCCCCACCACGAAGGTCTCTTGTATTCACATCGTAAACCTAGATGCTTACAAGCACTGCAAGTTATGGCACCTTCATCACACTTCTTTCTTCTTAATCTACATGTGTAACAACCTTGATAGCTAAGGTCAGTATATAAAGTCGGACGATGAGAGATATCAAAGAATATCGAATTGAGATGAATTAAAGTCGAAACGAACCTGTCCTTGATCGTCTATGCATTTGCATCTTTCCTTTTGTAGCAGGAGCAGCTTTGGAAGCTTTTGGTTTGGGTTGAGCGACAGCCATGTTGACGTTCGTCGTTCTGATTGCTGATTGAGCGTTGGGGGGTTGTGGTGACATTTGTATTTGTACTGTACCAGCAGTAGATAATAGTGGGGGCGGCGAGAGTGTGAGTTCGGTTCGAAGTGCGTGATATTGCGATGAGAGACTGGGGTTAGTAGCGTAGGTGATTGGCGAGACCGGGGGGGACTGATAAAATTAATGAGTGTCGGTTCAAATCAAGTCCAGCTTGACCTTGAGTAAATGAGTGGGTTGTGCGGGTGGTAGATGTTGAATTAGGTAGAGACAACAATCTAACGACGACGATGCGGGGAGGGAGGGACTAAGAAATTGACCTTTTTGTTTCGATGTTCGAGAGCCTCAATGAAGAAAGTGAGGTAATGGTTGCATGTTCATGACCTATATATGAAGATGTCGAAAAGATGTACAATAATCATCTTCAGCCATGGGAAGAATTGGAAAATCTATTTCTGGATATCGAATGGAGTGATGCTATTTTTCCTGCATTCATCTACCTAGCTCATATTCCCGCCCACGAACGTACATGCACACGTGCGGCTACCAGTTGGTGCCCCTTTGGCCCTATGAGAAGACGATATCAACTAGGTCCGAATATAGGATACTTCCCATTGAGGAATGGTGGATGAAAGGTGGGTGCCGTTGTGCACTAGGCACATAGGATTAGACTAGGGAATATAAAAAGAAGGCTAGTCAAATAAAGTGGCCGCATCGCATGGGGGCAGGCATTCACGAACGAGCCTAAAGGAACATTAGGAAATATTATCCAACATGGCATTATGGATAACTTCAAAAATCATGATTGGTGAAGGTGATGATAATCCATGCATTGGGGTTAGTTCCACAAAATTCCGTATCCACCAAGACCCTAGTCATCGTTACTGCATTTGATCCCATCCTTCTCCGTGCCCCTTGTCCTTCTCTTTTCACCCCCCTTGTTAATGAAAACCTACCGCACTAAGCTTTTATGGGTCGGTTAAGGAACAGGTGTGGCTGGCCCAGTGGGGAAACTCAGCGGTAAAAGAAGGCGATTTTGTGCTATTTTCGCGAGGCGCCTCTTATGCAACCTACTCCAAGTCGGCCCCCCACCTATCTTTGCTCCCCTCTCCCTTGCCCTATTGCTCCCATTCCTGGTGTACTTGCTTGCTTGCATGTGTTTGTACTACGAATACCATTCAACTGGCACGATGGATCGATGGAACGATAACACATCGCATATCGTACAATAGCACATCGAACATAGCTGGCACCTACCCTAAGGATCCGTGAATTCATCCTCTTCTTGATATCAATATGGAGACTTCCTGTTAAACTTCTCAAATGATCTCAAGGGTTCTAGGTGGATAGATCGACAAGTCATGATCGGCTGTGTCAAATGTGATAGGTAGACATTTAAATGATTTTGAGTTTTTCTTTCTTTGTCAGGCTTTCTTAACTTGTCCACAATTTCTTACTCGTTTGATGGTTACTCGATAAACTCGAAGATATGTATGTATCATGGATTCATGGGTAACCTACTCTCTGTGCAACGGGTGCACACTTTTGAAGAGATATTGGTCTATGCTTCATTTCTGCAGGACACCTGCATTTCGCCATTTCGCGATAAATATCCATGTACATGAAAAGTAGATTGCTTGAATCGTCCTATTTGTTGATTCGTTGTATTTCTTCCTTTTGGGTCAGTACGACAATTTGCAAAAGCCTGAAAAGAGAGAATACCAATACGATACCGACATACAATGACGGAGAATCCCCTCTTCCCGCAAAAAAGTGGTACATTACCTTCCTATTGCACCATTGAACGGTAGAGCGTACCTTTTTTCTCTCTCTCGAGGGCAGCATTCGCCAACTTGAGGATCCACACTGCCGATGCCTTTTTTCTAATCGATATCTGCTTTGCCTGCTTATCCGCAGCATAATTCCTTTACTTTTACCCCAGCCCGCATACAACACTGAGACCCCGAATCCCGATGTGAACCTTACATACTGTACGATGTAGTTCTCCTCTTCTGCCGTAATCCCGTGCTTACTTCTCTATATGATCCAATTAAATACGTTGGAATGACCTTTCTACAACGGTCAACGGCATGGTGATTTCGTAAAACTCTCTTCATTCAGCGGTGAATGGATATTTGGGATCACGAGATGTGACGGATTGAAATTACACTCCATTCAATCAATTACTAGATTTTCGACATCTCAATCCAAAAGAGTACGGAGGAACAAATGGTATAATCGTATAATCGTATTGTAACAAATAGCGGTCAAGTAAGATTGGGCGGAAATCGATCACGACAGGGTGATGAAAGTGCAGCCATTCAAAATACCTGAATTGTTTTTCAATAATGATGGTGATTTTCATGACTGTGATTCGAAGATGTCAATCAATAAGTGTGACCACTTGCATTAGCGAGGAAAGAGCGGCTTTACCCGTAGCCAACGGTTTGTCAGTTTCTGCTATCAAGTTTGAAATGAAGGAAATTGTCTAAAATCTGGGCCAGTGTAACTAGATGATTTAGTGGTTCAAAGCTTAATTCAAAGTAATACAGCACGAGATGATCAAGTATTTTACGGAATGCTTAGGGTTCTCACTCACTCATTTCATGGAAGCGAAATGAAGCTATTTGATGAAGGGTGAAATATTTCGTGTAGATCAAAGAAAAAAGTACACAACGAGAAGCTAATCGGAAGAAATTAATTAAAAAGTTACGGCCGAAGCATATTGAAGAAAAAGTCAAGCATTCCGACGAACTGATATATGATAAACTAGGATGATTAGGATAATTATCGAGGGGTAACGACGCAGGTCTTTTCAATACTACATCCCCCGCAATACACTGCTTGTGCAAGGTGGTATTTCTTCTGCATGGGAAGCTCTTGACTACATGATGTCTATACCCCGTAAGTGCACACACAGTACCTGCCTTTGATATTACAACGAACTGGCTGTTTGTCTCATCAGAAATCACAATGACCCCCGAGTTCCCTAAATCTACAGGCTTCATGTCTCGCGATTTTGGCTGTCCTTCCCTAATCTTCATTAATCGTCAGCGGGTGAATCAATTGGTGTGCAGAATCAGGTAAACCCTTTTGACTAAAGCTTGACGGAGTGGGGTGTGTAAAGTGTGGACAGCGGGTAGAGTGGAGGAGGTAGCCAAGTCCATGCAAATATTCAAATGCGAGATGGAAGGATTAGGACACGGATGCAACCTCAGAAAGTGACCCCTGGAATGATAATAACGGTAGGTAGGGGCATTTTTTCTCCTTCTCTGTCAAAAAGATCAATGATGCATCTGTGCCAGACTCATACATACGATTTTCTTCGGCAGTATGACCAGGGAAGAGACTACCTAGTAGCAAAACCTAGTAGATACTAAAAAGCTACCAGGTAGTTGTGAAATGTCACACAATGATCCAAGCTTCTCACATTCATCTATTCATCACATCCAATACAATCCTTTTTCCATCACACCAAAATCCTATTAATGGTATGAATTAAGCGCTATTGTCAATAATTATGTATCATTTCTTAACCTACCACTTGATCATCAGTTGGTCTTTTTGCTGTTATCCCTATCATATTTCGTCACATTCATCCTTAATTAGCAACATATCCCGCTCTCAATGTAGTGTTATTTTTGGACATTTCACATATGTTGGTCTTGCAGAAATTGTCACTAATTAATCAACATTTTCAATAGTCTCTCGCACTCGTCTGTATTACCCTTTTAGATTCCCGGGATCTCGTGGACCCGCGAGGCTCCGTTTACCCCCACACTGAAGCTCACAATCATCGAGCCATGTGGCTTGAGTCTTGACTAAGAATATGCTAATCATCACCGTCCCCATACGTACAACAACACCAAGCCTAGAAAGGCTGAGGTGATACGAAAATCATCAGAATGAGAAGTTTATGTTAAACCTTCCTTCATTTCTACAAATTATCCAAGGTACGCACGTTCTCCTCCGAACGTTTATGTGCACATCCCTTTACACTCGCAGCTTTTTCCCATTTTTGCGCCTTCTCCCTATTCCCTAACAATCTGGAATAGATGAAGAAGCTCGGTTTCGGTTAGAGAAGGATATCGAGGCAACAAAAGCCTTCGCCTCCTATCTTCCCAAGCAATCCAATCTTAAAATAACATCATCATCTACAACATTTGTGAAGTTGACAAGATCGCAATTTCGTTTCAGTTGATAACACATGAAGCTTGGACCTGTACGAGGACAGTGGTCAACAATATCTTCACAATTTGAAATATATCACTTGGCTCTAGAATCCTCACTCAAAGAAACTGAATGTAGGATGATGTGATGTGCGTTGAGGATGCAACCAGGATATTTGCCCGCATCTCTTCAAGACTTTCGTAAACCGCTCAATTCAGTTGTGGTGTAGGAACTAGAAGCATCAAGTAGACAAAGGATTGCTGAGGCTGAAAGTGAAGCCTCAGCAGGCTCCGGGGGACTGGCATCAGGAGTGGATAGAGATGCCGTTTCCGATGTTAGTATCTGTTAGTATCTTCCAATAACGGTAGGTACGCTGACATTACTGAGGCTGAATTTGAAGCTTCTAAGAATGTAGGATTGCTTCCAACAAGAGCGGGTAAAAGGCTCCCTCCACGATCCCAGTATTGACTGAGAACGACATGCACGCTGACATTACTGAGGCTCGCTGAAGCTTCTTGGAGTACCGGAATGTTAACAACGAGAGTGGGTAAAGGAGATTCCTTCAGTCATTCCAGCCAGTATCGTCTGATATTGGCAGGCACGCTGACGTTCTCGTCCCTCGTGTTTTACTAGGTTTGGATGAGCTTAATGATCCTTCTCCTTTGTGAAAGAGTTTCATGTATCGTATCTCTAATATCATCATAGTGGCTGACCGTTTGTATGTCTGCCTTATTGGAAATTTTGAGTATTTTTCCGAGACAAAAATAATTCCTGACAACTTTATCATCGTCGTCATTTTCTGATAAGAATGGGGGAGACAATGCTCCAAAGCTAATATCTAGGAAATTAAACTTTCATCTGACAGCTCGTAAGAACTTTACCCATTTCGAACATTGCACTAAAAGCGTTCCGCAATTTCAGGTTACCGTTTAGGAGAAATTTTAAGATATGGGGATTATTTATGGACATACTAGATATGCACGAGCATGCTCAACTTCACATCTCCATATTAATTGATGTGGAGAACAAAAGTAAAAGTGCATGATGGATCTGGTGATCTGAACTCACGATCTTCAAATGAAGCGGATAGGATAGTACTTAGATAATCCAGCTTATTTGTTTTCGTACGAGCGGACGAGTGAGAGTACATACTTAGTAGGTGCAGCACACTTAT